CCAGGGACAAGAGTTATTACCAGACTCTGAACTTCTAGGTTAAGATATGTAAACTTCTCTTCCATAATACCTAATAAAATGAGCAAAATTAATCAGTCAATCCTAACAACAAAACAGGGAAAGGAGCCTAATATGACAGCATAAGTTTCAATATTCACAACGAAAAAAAGAAATGGAAGGTTCTGGAGGGGAGTAGAAGGATCTGGAAAGGAAAGGCAACACAAGTGGGGTTCAAACTTCCCCTGAATCTAGAAGTCAGTCTGGTGCATCAACTAACTATGGTTAGTCTCATATCTCCAGCTATGCAGAAAAGCAAACTATCATTACCATCATCTTTTTGTTTTAGATGGAACTGTGGCAGAAATTGCTGCTGAAAATTATAGGAAAAATAGGGAAGATGAAAAATGAGGTTGATGCTGTCAGAAATAAAGTCCATGCAGCTACATTCTGAATTTGGAAAATGGCCCAAAGTAGTACAGTCTTCCATCCTTCTGTAGTAATTAGTGCCTCCCCAACCAACTTAGAAAACCCTAGTCTAGGACACTGAACCAAATCTTAAAACATGTCAAAACCGATACCCTCCCACTTCAGTCCTTTTTTTTTCCGTTCTCTTTCTCTGGGAATGTCTACTGAATACATAAGTGAACACACTGAAATTTTCATGCATTGCCTCAGGGGAAGGATGACCGAAGGAGAGTTAGAGAAACAGAAAGAGAACGAAAACAGAGAGACCGGGCGCGGTGGCTCACGCCTGTAATCCCAGCACTTTGGGAGGCTGAGGTGGGCGGATAATGAGGTCAGGATATCGAGACCATCCTGGCTAACACGGTGAAACCCCGTCTCACTAAAAAATACAAAAAAATTAGCCAGGCGTGGTGGCGGGCGCCTGTAGTCCCAGCTACTTGGGAGGCTGAGGCAGGAGAATGGTGTGAAACCGGGAGGCGGAGCTTGCAGTGAGCCGAGATCGCGCCCCTGCACTCCAGCCTGGGCGACAGAGCAAGACTCCGTCTCAAAATAAATAAATAAATAAATAAAAAGAGAATGAGAACAGAGAGCGGTAAGTGAAGTCACTGCTGCACAGTATCATGTAATGTCTCCACATAGCCCTCCAACCATGAAGAAAAGAAATATAATGACATGTCAACTCCATAATCTTGCTACTATCTGTAAAAAAAAAATAAACAAATCAATCAATTAAGGAAAGAAGGATAATGGCACATGTAAGATATTTACAATGGCAATTTTGTGGTGGTAGAATACAGAGTGGTTTTCAAAATCCTTTTTTGTGTGTATGTTTTCTTACATTGTTTGAATGTATTTCAGTCCACAAGATATACATCAGTAACACATGGTGTTTTTTTTCAATGAAAGCAAATATTTAAAGATGTTAACTCTTTTTCAGATAAAGAAAAGCATACAAAATATTTATTGCTGCATTTCCATGCCTTCTCCACAATATTGAGGCCTGAATTAGGTAGGCAGTTGAAGTCTTTCTAAAAGTGAGTCAGATGTAAGCATCCTACAGCTTCCACACGAGGCCAAATAAGCAGGAATCCCTTAACTCTAAGAGCCATGGTGGGGAAGAGTGTTGGTTGGGCTACCATGTGTATTTTCTCTGTTCTATAAGTTGCATCCACATGAATAGGCTTCTGTTTTAAATCCTGGATATTAAGAACATATTTTAATTAGTTCTACAAGTTAGGAATAGCTGAAAGCTCTATATTTGCATTTACAAATTTGTACCTAGTCTTGAACCATTTCTGACTATACTGTCACCACTGTAATCTAAACTGCTTTTCTAAAAGTGATATTCCAGGATCCTCCTATAAGAATGCAAAGCACATTTTCCATGCCACACCTTTGTTTTCCTTGTTTCTTTCATCAAGAATGTCCTCACTCTACACTCTACTTCCCAACTAGTGAAATTCACCATACTTTCCAGGTTGAGCCCATGACTCCATTTCCTTCTAGACGACACAACTACAAAGGAATGTCTCCCTCTCTGAATGTGATGCATTCCCTATTGTCTGTGGTGGCATTCACAGGTTCTTAGCTGCATTGGTATTTAATTCTGCATTATGATTGAACATTTACCCGTTTTCTCTTGGTTTTCTCTACTAGACTGTGTTCTCCCCCAGGGCAAACATTTTCTGCATGTGGAGGAGCCATTCCTGGGCTGGGGCTAATCCCAGCAGAGACTGATCCATTTTAAAGATTTCAAGTCCCTGGAGCTCCAGGTGACTGGCACTGGCTCAGAAAAAAAGGAGCAGGTTCATTGGCTGATACTTAAAAGACCTGAGGCTCAACTATATGCATCTAATTGGCCTATAAATCTTAACATCAAGACAAAGCTTTTGTCTCTTTGTAGACTGAAACCCTCTCTTGGAGCTGAATGTATCCTTTTATGAATTATTTGGTCTAACTTCCACAGTATAAACCTATAATGTAGTATTTAGTAGCACTGACTTTGGAGTTAGACTCCTTGGGCATAAATTTCAGTAGTATCACTCTTTCAACACAATTTATTTGCCATTTCTGTTTCTTACACGCCTCCTTTATAGAATAAGGAAAATAGTACTTACGCAGTTGATGACTGCTGTACTAAAGGTACTCATGACAAGCTATGCATGTGCAAAATACAAGGTTACTAACTCACCTGGAGTTAAAGAAGCCCTAAATAATAAAAAAAAAAGCAATGCTTAAATTATTATTATTAGTATTGATTATTGAGTTTAATATTAACTTTAAAGTACTTAGCACATTATGAATGCAGTGTTAAATATTATTTTTATTACTATTGATATTGCTATTTCCCCAGTGCTAGGAAGGGCTAGAGATGGGGAGAGATATTAATGGCTAATTTGTGCAGGACTTGCACCACTTTATTGCCAAGTCTGGATTCCAGAGCCTCACATGACCCTCTGTGTCCACAGTGCTGACACAATATTATGTAGAAAGTAGGAATAAAATGCACTTATTGTTTAAATTTATTATGGCCCAAAGCAATAATTACCAAGTACATTACATAGGTTTGGAACACTAAGAGTCCACTTACACACACATACACCCACCCACCCACAAACACTTTGGACTTCATCAAAATCTGGAGATACGCTTTCCTATAGAGCTTATGTGAATTAGATTTTCATAGACATCTTGCCATGAGAAGAAAATAAAAATTGTCAACAGACTTGCCTTATCAAAACTCATGAATTTCTGCAAACACATGTTTTCACAGTTGATGGAAGCATTTGACTGAATATCTTGACTTTTTGACTTATATGAAACAGCTCATTAAATGTTTTGGTATTAAAAGCATGTCATTCTTATACTTTATTATTTTTCTTCTGCAACTTTGAGGTGGTACACTGAGGAATTGACAAAACTTGTGTTCAGACTCGAGTCTCATGACCTGAATTTCAATGTTCTGTCCTTAAAGTGATCTGAGTTTTGTGTGGAGAAATTAATATTCCAGAAAATACTTGTATTCCAACATAACACCTATTGTACTAGATGAGTGCATGACAGATTATTAAAGTGCAGATTCAAGGACTATGTTGGGGTGTGGGAATAAATGCAGTGGATCTTGTTTTGCTCACAGAAAAGTTGATGCTATCATTGTCCTTAGTGATTAGGGGGAGTCTGATGGGTAGATATTGGCAGGTGGGATGAGGGTGGGATGGTCAGTGGGAAGGGGACATTTTAGGCAAAGGAATAGAACGTTTCAAGGCTTGGAAGCATGAAAAAACAAGGCATAATGAAGGAAAGCAGGCCAGAGAGCATTTTATATGTGGAAGGAACATTTTGGTGATTAAATTTCAAAGGATGGCATCACCGTGACCAGACCATAATAGACCCCATATAACATTTTAAGGAGTTTGAATTTTGTCCTGTAGAGCAAAGTGAAAGATTATAAGGAAAAATAAAACTAACTTAATTAGCTCATGCTGTAGAAAGAGTATTCTGCCTGCAGTGAATGAATTCTGGAAGGCAGTCATGAAGTCTAACCTGTACATCAGGAGCTATTCAAATAATTCAGGAAAGTGATGATGGGTGTGTGAATTAGGGCAGGAGTAAAGGGGCTGGAGAGGTGTGGCAAATTTGTCAGGGCCTTGGGACATGACACTCATGGTACTTCAAAACTGGTGATTGAGCTGTGAGGTGGAGGCCATAGGCCCACTCCACACTCAGGTGCATGTCTTGAAGGAGGAATAGATTTTGAAGTAAGTTGCTGAGTTTGAGAGTAAAACATATTTGGTTCAAGATGCATATCCAGGCAGAACTCTTAAGTAAGCCATTAGATACTTTCATTGGGTGAAAAGTCTGGGTATGAAATAGTGATTTGGAAGTCTCTGTGGAGAATACAGATTTTTTAGGTGAACAGGTTGTGGTTCAAATCGTTAGGATGGGTAGGTTGTTAAGGGGGGGTGGAGTGTAAAAGCAAGAAGACAGATGATGAACTTTGGAAAATACAAATACTGAATGATGGGCAAGAGGAAGAAGATACAGGAATAGGATATTTTATATTACCAAAATAAATCATCATCAAGAAGTAACTTTATAATACTTTAGGCCAGAAGTTTACATAATTTGATGCTGAATATAAATAAAGTACTGTAATAATCTGTGTGCAGTCTTAATGACATACTGGATACATATTGTGAAATGCCAATTATTTAAAGCAGCTTTTGAAAGGAGGCCGCTTTCTAGCAGTGCACAATACCATAATAAAATACATTTTAGGAATCATCTTCTATAAACAGTATCCCTGGTAATCATTAAGATGTCATCTTTATTATGCCAAGGCCAAAACCAATGTTAGGGCTTAATATAGTTTGCATTTCTGTTTCTTCTCGTCTTATGTAACCTGTATTTTTGACAGCCATTTAGCTTACATTATAATAGTATAATGTACCATGACAATGTATGTGTCACGACAGTATTGCACTCAGTGAAAAAGCTGTTGCATCTATGGACTTGAAAACATAAATCATGAAAGCTTTGTTGCAAAAATTTATTATTTAATCAGTTTGGAAGTTGAGTGATATTTTAATTGCCTCTTTGTTTACCATTCTGATCATGATTTACACTTCACTGCTATCCAGAGTCTATGTTAACTAGTAAAAACAAACCGTATTTGAGAGTTCACTCTTAAATCTAAGATCAAATGATTTTTCAGATTATTTATTTAAAAACAATTCTACAGGCCATGCTCACAATTTATAATTGCTTAGGCGCAAGTCAGTGTAAAACAATAGTGCTACATTTAAAACATGTTGTTTAGAATGAATTCGCTCATTAAAAGGTCACAGAACCTCATCAAGCTTCTCATAAAACTGTATGGCTTAAAATTTAACCTAGCAGTTTCATGGTGTGAAATCTTTTTTGACATGTTTCTCAAAAAGATAAAAAGAAAACTTGCAGAAAATTTCATTTGGGTAGGATATTAACTAATAAGATTCAATCAAAGATATTTGAAATTTCTTCAAGATAAAATTAAAGATAAAAAGGTAAAAATTAAAGGTAAAATTAAAGATAAAAGATAACAAAGCTATTTTAAGTAAAAGATAAACTTTTATTCTAGCACTAGTAGTTGGTTAATTTAAACTGCCTAAGTATGACCAAGAAAAAGAGAGAAAAAAGATTCCTCGAACATATCTAGAAAGCAATAAACTCATTAAAAGTTGCTTACAAAATCTTCGTAGATTTTCCAAGCTTTAACAAAATTCCAAGGTATTACTCGAATAGGCCAGATGATTGAAAAGGTTATTTAGATAGAACTATCTCATGACTTACACATAACACACATGATATATATTATTTTTATTCTGTTAGAAAGTCAAGACATAAAATGATTGGCAGGAGTTCCTTATCAGAACAGAATCTCTTAGAACTAGAAATGAATGCCTTTTTCCACACACGAACCCTTTGGCTGCATAAAAGTATCCATGGAAACCCTTACCTGTTAGTTCTAATATGCATATACAAGGTTATTTTCTTTTCCATTTTATTTCAACAAAAACGTGAATGGAATAGAAAGCACTGAACTACTAGAAACTTCCAAGGCCTTACATAACAGTTTTTGACAAAAAGCTCATTATATTTTTATAGTTTCTATTTGGCACAAGACTAAATGACTTTACAGAATATGTTCATCAATATATGTAACAAGGATTATTAAATGTCCTATTATGCTTATGGATACAAATTTATGTTTTTATTATTCAGGAGCCACAGTTGGTGTACATTCAATTTAAATGATATTTTATCATTTTTCAGTCAAATAAAATATATGTAGTGAAAAAGTACCTCCTAAAACTTCCTAAAAGCTAGCTTGCATCTGGATAAGGTGTGGAATTGAAGGAAGAAGCTAAAGAGAGTTGATGATTGCAGAAAAGCCAAGAGCATGGTATTTATTTTAAAAAGTTTTTAATTGGATAGTTCACAGAATGAAAGAACTATGGAAACAAATGAAGTGTACCCAGATGCGAACAAGAAAAGGATATTTATTCAGAGCTAGCATAGTAAGGAAGTCAATCGCCATTATTTATGTTTGGCAGAGACTCAAAGGCAGGCAGAGGAGTAGGAAAGCTTTAGAATGGAAAAAAGGGAAGACTTCGGGTCTGCTTGATTGAAGGCTATTGGTATAAAGGAGTCGGAAGCCCGATAACTGAAAGAAAAGTATCCTATGAGGGTGATTAGGCAGCATATTTGTCTTTCTTCAGTTGGTCCAAAGTTGGAAGTAGAGGAAGGCAGCTAAAAATTGTGAAAGTTGTCCATTATTGATCAGGTACTGACCGTTTTGGGCTAATTGCCGTGGAGGCTGTGGTCTTGCTCTGGTTATTGCAGTTTGTGGGTTAGAATTCTATTTCTATGTGTGGTGTGACTGTGTATTCAGTCTCTCAGAACTAAAGGCTAGTGATATCGTCAATTAACTAAAAAAGCTGAGCTCTGAGGCAGACATTAAAGAAAAGTAAAGAAAGTGGACTAGGTATTTAAAAAATGAGTAATAAGAGAATGGCAGCAGCAAGAGAAAATTTTTAAAAATGGAAATAAATGTGTGAACCACAGTTTGGGAATAAAGGTGGAGATGGGGCAGAAAAAAACAGAAGCAAGCAGGCTAACGGTCTTTTTGTATCTCTCTTTGAAAGGAGAGAGATCAAGAAATAAGATTCAATAAAAGATACTTGAAATTCCCATATGCAATACTGAATTTATCATAGCAGGCTCATACATTTTTCACTGAGTTAAGAAATATTCAATTAAATGGAAATATCAAACACATAGGATAGTCAATTTACTGAAATATGAAAGCCCTTCAATATTTCAGTTGATATCTTTTAACATTGTGAGCCAGTGTTTGTGTAGCAGGGCTCTTCTTTCAAAACTAGATTAAATTATATGTTTCTCAGGTTGGCCCTGGAGATCAAAATGTCTTTATTCAAGGGCATGCAGGCAAAAGAACAAGCACATTTATCATGGAACATTCAATAGTCCTTTACTGTCTGATGCATCAGATCTTCTGTCCAAACTTCCCACGGATTGCTCGAGTCCTGCGGATCTGGATCATTCTGTGTTCCCAAGCCCATCTGTGTTCTGTTGGCAGCTGAGAGATTGCATACTGTAATCTCTCTCTCTCTGATGTATGTCTTCTAAGAAACCCAAACATAAAGAGTAACACATGTTTATTAATTTTACTTTTACATATGAAAAGTTGCAATGTTATAAGTGATTCTGGAGTTGTGGGAAATTAAACATGCACAAGAGGGTCCTCAAATCAAAGGCCAGGATGTGGTCCCTAGTTCTTAGCTCCAGTGTGACTCCAACAACCTCCAGTAGAGATAAAGGCAGCATCTCACCGTAATTATTCAGTTCTACTCTCCACCAAGAGGAGAATAAAATAATTCTTTTCCTTGGTTTTTTTTTTTCGTTTTTTGTTTTTTCATTTTAAAAGCATTCTTTCACTTTTAAAAGCACTTTTGAGGTAATCCTGGATCTGCTTTATAAATGTCATGAATCATATAGGCAGTAAAACAATGGAGAGGGGGAATTAGCAATAAGATTATGCTATTTGGTTAGTTTCATAATGTAATATTCTTCCCCTTAATTTACTCAATATTGGTAATTAGTAATGTGATTTTTAACTTATCTCATAAAATACGGTCTTGGATTTCAGGACAATCCTTGGTATGAGGGAACATTTTTCGTTTGTGTCCTCTTCCTTTGTAGGGGTACTCAAGACTTTGAATGCATAGGCTCAGTCCTGCTGTGCGCTTTCTACACAAATCCTGACCAAGCCTGCGAATATGGACAAATATTTATTCAGACCAATAGGTAGAGTTTGGCATTGACCTGGCACCCAGAGTGCCCAAAGTAGTTGCTGTTCTACGTATTCACCAACCACCTGTCTTCATCCCAAACTTTACCTTATGATCAGATTTCTATTGATTTCTTTTTTTGTCATATATGCTAAACCCCAACAATTTTAGCTCAGCTTCTCTTTGTCATGTACTTTATTGCAGGAGATAGGGGAAGACTCTGTTGTTCAAACCTGTAGCCACTGGATCACATCATGTTCAGACAGAGCTCACTGAAACCATAATGCAGGCCCTTCCTTGAGAAAGGGCTACTGATCTACCTCTCTGAGCAACTTTGATCTCATGGCTTGTAAGGCCAAACTGAATTGAGTGGGCAAGTGATTTTCAAACCAGTTACAGATATTACATAACAGCTTCTCGTGCACATGGGAGACGGAGTCTCACTCTGTCGCCAGGCTGGAGCACAGTGGCGTGATCTTGGCTCACTGAAACCTCCGACTACCTGGTTCAAGAAATTCTCCTGCCTCAGCCTCCTGAGTAGCTGGGATTACAGGCATGCACCACCACGCTCAGCTAATTTTTGTATTTTTAGTGCAGACGGGGTTTCACCATGTTGGCCAGGATGGTCTCCATCTCCTGACCTCATGATCTGCCCACCTCGGCCTCCCAAAGTGCTGGAATTACAGTCGTGAGCCACCGTGCCCAGCCAACATTTTTGCTTTTTGAAAGACACTGATGGGAATGAAAAAAATCTACAGATTAAGAGAAAATAATTGCAAATTACATATTTGATAAGAGATTCATATCCAGAATACTTAAAACACTGTCAAAATTCACTGCTAAGAAAACAGGCAACCCCATAACAATTTGGGCAAACAATTTGAACATATACTTCCAAAAATAAAAGATATGCATAATATATTAGCACATAAAAATATGTTCAAATTTTTTTCATCAAAGACATGTAAAATTGAAACCACAATGATATACCACTAGACATCACAGTAGTGCTTAAAGTGAAAAAGGCTTATAATAAGTGTTAACAAGGATGTGGAGAGACTGAAACTTTTACAATTCTGACAGGTAATGTAAAATGGTAGAACCACTTCCAGCAACAGTTTGTTGGTATCTTAAAAAGTTAAACATGTAGCTATTATATGTTCCAGCCACTCCCTCCTATACATTTACCTAAGATAAATGAAAATATATGTCTATTTAAAGACTTATACATACATATTCATATCAACTATATTCGGAAACAACTCCAATTTTTATCAACCGGTAAATGGATAGAAAATTCTGGGATATCCATGCAATATTTTTTATTCAACAATAATAACTAATGAGTTGGCCAGCATGGTGTCTCATGTCTGTAATCCCAGCATTTTGGGAGGCTGAGTCAGGCGGATCACTTGAGGTCAGGAGTTCGAGACTAGCCTGGTCAAAATGGTGAAACCCTGTCTTTACCAAAAATAAAAAAAAATTAGCCAGGTGTGGTGGTGCATGCCTGTAATCCTGGCTACTCAGGAGGCTGAGGCAGGAGAATCACTTGAACCTGGGAAGTGGTGGTTGCAGTGAGCCGAGATCGTGCCACTGCACTCCAGCCTGGGTGACAGAGTGAGACTGTCTCAAAACAAACAAATAAAAACCAAAAAAACTTATTAGTTATTGATACCCATACAACATAGATGAGTTTCAAAAATAACTAAGCAGTGTAAAATAAGTCAGACAATAAAAAGAGAACATATAGTTTGATTTCATTCATATAAAATTCTAGAAAATACAAACTAACCTATGGGGCAAAAAGCACACCAGTGGTGAGAGTTGATGAAGGGAGAGATGACAAAGAGAGATTGTAAAGGGACATGAGGTAAGTTTGGATGTGATGGGTATGCTTATTTCCTGCTCATAGTTTTCTGGGTGTACACATCTGTCCAAATTTATTAAATTACACATTTTCAATATATGCCATTTATTTTATGTCAATTGTACCTCAATATAGTTGTAAGGGAAAACAGCAACATGGTGGTCTTTGAATTCCTCACCTTTAAAATAAGAAAGACAAACTATAATTATTGCTGAGGACCAAAATTCTGTGATTCTGTAAACAAGAAGGCTAAAGATGAGGCCCAAAGGTAGGAGATTGTACATACAGTGTTGTTAATGTCTTGTTGAAACTGCAGAATAAGAGCGTATATTACTGGGTAATGAGAGTATTTCCCCTAAAATAAAATGGATTCTAGTTTGTGGCTCTTTGGCCTAGGGATGGGGAAAATCTTCCTCCTTCTAGTCCTAATGGGGGTGGCCAGCCATTCTTAGCTATGTGGAGATAGGCTGGAAGGGAACAGCAAAACAGGCCTGCAAGTTCTCAGTGACAATGACATTGACCATAGCTGCTACAGCCAATGTTATTCACACTGAGAACTTGTGTGGAGATATGTCAAGATCCTGGGATATGTGATAATCAGGCAGTGGTGAGGAATATCCTAAGTTCCAGGGGTCATGTATGAGTTTTGGATTTTATACCAAGGTAGCAGAATTTCCAGAGAAATCCTTTTGAATAGAGAGGAGCAAAATGGATCTCTTGAGTCTCAGTCACCAAAGGAAGTGGCACGGTAGCAATTCAAGAAGGCCAGCTTGGACCTGGCAGACTACATCCCGAGCACATGTGAGAAAGTACTTCTTGAATTGGTGAATCAGCAGAAAAGAAGAATTTGGAAGTATACTTACATTGACAGCATTTCTTTATATATCTCAGGTAAACATATAGTTTAATAGGTTAGGGCCAATAATGCAATGGTTAGAAGAGTGGACACGAATTCCCGGTGCCTTTCTTAACCTTCTTCAGCATACATGCATTACAAAATAATGCAAGGATTTAAAAATCATGCTATATTCCTGACCCGCATACCACTATAACCCTAATTATACTGTTTCTGCTCACTTAGCAACTAGCCTATATCTTACATGTAGCTCATAGTACAAGACACCTTTCAGTGGAAGATCTTTAGAAATATGATTAAATACCATCTTGATATTTGGGAAATTAACATCAGATTATTGTCTTGAAATATCACCTAAGAATTATTTCATGTCTTATGTACTTTGAACCATACAAAACTGCTGTTTTAATAGGTCAAATATGGTTTCAAATTGGAAATTTCATGATTCAAAATCAAAAGGTAAAGAAGGAAGGAGGAAAAATGTCAGAATGACAAAGAGAAGGAAAAAAACCATAGATGTTATTTCAAGCCATCAATGTGCATTAAAGAGATATTTCTCAAATCTAGACTATTAATATGAACTACAAATACAATAACTTCAGATACATAATTTACAACTGATTAAACTTGTTTCAAGTTATTTTATATTAGTTACCACTATTGTTGAACTTGCTTCCACAGATCACATATTTTGGCAGAGATATCAGTTGCTTTTATTTTATTCCTTTTTTTTCTCCTAGAGCCTTCAGATGAGATATATTATTACTTATGGAGAACAGGAACAAAATAGACGTTTTTCTTTGACATTTTCTATGAAACTGTAAATTGGATTATACTACAGCTATTTCAAGAGGTCATTTTACTTGGTTTTTGAAGAGAGAAAAAGTGATTAATGTTAAGAAACCCTTGATATAGGAATTTAGTGTCCTTGAGCTCCGTATCACTACCTTTTCTAAAGCTGCTAACACACTGCAAGCGATCAATGACTCAATAATGTAAATTTATAAAACACATTGTACACACATACACACACATACACACGTACGTGACCTTCCAGAAGTTGTTCATGTGTTAGAAATTAACAGTTTTTGAAGTCTGTAGGTTACCATGGAAATCTGCTGTTGATGTTCACTCCATTAACACATTCATTCCTAGAAAATAACAGCTCTGATTCCTTTACCATTGTCATTAATAATACTGTTGTGCTATCAAATACTACATCTTATTTATTCTATCTAACTATATTTTTGTACTCATTAACCATCCCTTTTCCTCCCTACACCCACTTCACTTCCAAGCCTCTGGTAACTACCATTCTACTCTGTATCTCCATGAGTTTAATTATTTTGATTTTTAGTTTCCACAAATAAGTGAGAACATGCAATGTTTGTCTTTCTGTGCCTGGCATATTACACTTCATATAATATCCTCCAGCTTCATCCATGTTGTTGCAAATGACAAGATCTCATTCTTTTTTGGCTGAATGGTACGCCATTGTAGATGCATACTGCGTTTCCTTTATGTGTTCATCTGTTGATGGATACTTAGGCTGATTCCCAATCTTGGCTATTGTGAATAGTGCTGCAATAAAAATGGCAGGACACATATCTCTTTGATATACTGATTTACTTCTTTTGGGTATATACCTAGTAGTGGGGTTGCTGGATCATATGGCAGCTCTGTTTTTAGTTTTTTGAGGAATCTCCATACTGTTCTCCATAGAGACAGTACTAATTTACATTCCTATCAACAGTGTATAAGGGTAACATTTTCTCCACATCCTCACCAAAATTCATCATTGCCAGTCCTTTGTATATAAGAAAAGCCATTTTAACTGGTATGAGATGATATCTAATTGTAGTTTTGATTTGCATTTTCCTGATGTTCAATGCCATTGAGCACCATTTCATATACCTGTTTGCCATTTTTATGTCTTCTTTTGAGAAATGTCTACTTAGATGTTTTGCCCATTTTAAAAATTGGATTATTAAATTTTTTCCTATTGAGCTGTTTGAGCTGCCTATATATTCTGGTTATTAATGCCTTGTCAGATGTATAGTTGGAAAATATTTTCTTTCATTTTGTGAGTTGTCTCTTCACTTTGTTGATTGTTTTGTTTGCTGTGCAGAAGCTTTTAAACGTGACGTGATCACATTTGTCCATTTTTGCTTTGTTACCTGTGCCTGTGGGGTTTACTCAAGAAATCTTTGCCCAGATCAATGTCCTGGAAAGTTGCCCCAATGTTTTCTTTTAGCGGTTTTACAGTTTGAGGTCTTAGATGCAAGTTTTTGATTCATTTTGATTTGATTTTTGTATATGGTAAGAGATAGGGGTCTAGTTTCATTCTTCTGCATATGGATATCCACTTTTCCCAGCACCATTTATTGAAGAGATTATCCTTTCTTCAATGTATTTTCTGGGCATTTTTGTTGAAAACGAGTTCACTGTGGATATATAGATTTATTTCTGAGGTTTGTATTCTGTTCCATTAATCTATGTGGCTATTTTTATGCCAGTACCGTACTGTTCTGGTTAGTATAGATCAGTAATATAATATGAAGTAAGGGGAAGTGATTCCTCCAGTTTTATTCTTTTTATATCAGGATGGCTTTCTGGGTCTTTTGTTGTTCCATATAAATTTTAGGGTTTTTTTTTCTATTTCTGTGAAGAATGTCATTGGTTTTTTATAGAGATTGCATTGAATCTGTAGTTTGTTTTGGCATGTGGACATTTTAACAATATTGATTCTTCCAATTCATGAATATCGAGTATCTTTCCATTTTTGTGTCCTCCTCAATTTCTTGCATCAGTGTTTTATAGCTTTCATTACAAAGGTCTTTCACTTCTTTGATTAAGTTAATTCCTAGGTATTTTATTTGTAGCTATTGTAAATGAGATTACTTTTTCAAGTTGTTTGCTGTTGGCATATAGAAATGCTAGTGATTTTTGTACACTGATTTTTGTATCCTGCAACTTTACTGAATTTGTTTATCAGTTCTAATAGTTTTTGGTAGAGTCTTTAGGTTTTTCCAAATATAAGACCATATCATCTGCAAGGGCAATTTGATTTCTTCCTTTCCAATTTGGATGCCCTTTTTTCTTTCTCATGTCTGATTGCTTTAGTTAGGACTTGCAGTACTATGTTGTGTAACAATAACATATGGTGAAAGTGGTGCATCCTTGTCTTGTTTCAGATCTGAGAAGAAAGCCTTTCAGTCTTTCCCTGTTCAGTATGATACCACCTGTGGGTCTGTCACACACATGGCTTTCATTATATGTGTCAATTGGTTTTATGTGTCTAGAAATTTATCCATTTATCATTGTATTGAGGTGCGTTCCTCGTATACACAGTTTTTTTAGGGTTTTTATCATGAAGGGATGTTAAATGTTATCATATGCTTTTTTCAGCATAAATTGAAAAGATCATATGGTTTTTGCGTGTCATTTTGTTGATGTGATGTGTCACATTGATTGATTTCCATATGTTGAACCATCCTTGCATCCCTGGAAAAGATCCTACTTGGTCATGAAGAATCATCTTTTTAATGTGTTGTTGAATTCAGTTTGCTAGTATTTTGTTGAGGATTTTTATATCAATGTTCCTCAGCGATATTGACCTGTAGTTTACTCTCTCTGTCTCTTTTTTAAAATGTATATGTGTCTACTCTTTCTATCTCTTTTTAAAAATGTATATGCGTCTAGGGTAATACCAGTCTTGTGAAATGAGTTTGGAAGTGTTCCCTCTTTCTTTATTTGTTGAAATAATTTGAGTAGAATTGGTGTTATTTCTTCTTTAAATGTTTGGTAAAATTCATCAGTGAAACAATTGCATCCCAAAATTTTGCTTTGCTGGGAGACATTTTATAACAGCTTTAATGTCATTACTTGTTATTTTTCTATTCAGATTTTGGATTTCTTCATGGTTCAATCTCGGTAGATTGTATGTATCTGGAAATTTCTCTGTTTATTCTAGGTTTTCCATTTTATTGGCATATAATTGCTCATAGAAGCCTCTAATGATCCTCTAAATTTTTGCCATATCAGTTGTAATATCTCTTTTTTCATCTCTATTTTTATTTAGGTCTTCTTTCTTTCTTAATCTGGCTAATGGTTTGTTGATTTGTTTTCATGTTTTCAAAAACCAACTGTTCATTTTTTAAATCTTTCGTATTTTTTCTTTTCATTTTCATTTATTTCTGCTCTGACCTTTATTATTTCTTCTACTAATTGTGGGTTTTGTTTGCTCTTGCTCTTTCAGTTTCTAAAGATGCATCATTAGATTGTGTATTTGAAGTTTTTCTTTCCTTCTTTCTTCCTTCCTTCCTTCCTTCTTTCTTTTCCTTCCTTCCTTCCTTCCTTCCTTCCTTCCTTCCTTCCCTTCCTTCCTTCCTTCCTTCTTTCTTTTCCTTCCTTCCTTCCTTCCTTCCTTCCTTCCTTCCTTCCTTCCTTCCTTCCTCCCTTCCCTCCCTCCCTCCCTCTCTCCCTCCCTCCCTCCCTCCCTCCCTCCCTCTCTCTCTCTCTCTCTCTCTTTCTTTCTTTCTTTCTTTCTTTCTTTCTTTCTTTCTTTCTTTCTTTCTCTCTTCCTTTCTTTCTTTCTTTCCTTCTTTCTTTCTTTTCTTTCTCTTTCTATAAGCCTTCCACTTAGTACTTCTTTTGCTGTATCCCATAAGTTTTAATATGGTGTGTTTCTATTCTCATTTGTTTTGAAAAATTTTTAAATTTCCTTTTGAATTTCCTTATTGACTGATTGTTCATTTGGGAACATATTGTTTAATTTCCATGTGTTTGTATAGTTTCCAAAATTCCTCTTGTTATTGATTTTTAGGTTTTTTCATTGTGATTTGAGAAGATACTTGATATGATTTCAATTTTTAAAAAAAATTTTAAGACTTGTTTTTTGTTTAAGATGTGGCCTTTGAGAATGCTGAGGAGAAGAGTGTGTTTTCTGCAGCTGTTGGATGAAATGTTCTGTAAATATCTATTAGGTCCATTTGGTCAAGAGTACATATTAAGTCTAATGTTTCTTTGTTGATTTTCTGTCTGGATGATTGGTCCAATGCTGAAAGTAGGGTGCTGAAGTCTCCAGCTATTATTATTTTGGGGTCTATCTCTCTCTTTGGCTATAATAATATTTGTTTTATATACCTAGGGGCCTAGTGTTTGGTGCATATGTATTTTCAACTGTTATATCCTCTTGCTGAATTGGCCCCTTTATCATATAATGACCTTCTTTGTCTTTTTAAAATAGTTTTTGTTTTGAAACCTACCTTGTTGGATATAAGTATAGCTACTCCTGCTTTTTTTTTGTTTGTTTGTTTCATTTGCGTGGAATACCTTTTTATCATCCCTTTATTTTCAGTCTTTATTTGAGTCTTATAGGTAAAGTGTGTTTATTTGTCTTATAGGTTAAGTGTGTTTCTTGTAGGCAACAGATCATTGGGTCTTGCTTTTTAATCCATTCAGCCACTCTATGCCTTTTGATTGAGAAGTTTAGTCTGTTTATATTTAGTGTTTTCGTTCATAAGCAAAAACTTACCCCTGCCATTTTGTTACTTATTTTCTGGTTGTTTTGCTGTCTTCTCTTCCTTCTTTTCTTCCTTTCTGTCCTCCTTTTGGTGAAGATGACTTTCTCTGGTGGTATGATTTAATTTCTTGCTTTTTATTTTTTGTGTATCCATTGTATGTTTTTAAATTTGAGGTTACCATGAGTCTTCAAATACTATTTTATAATCCATTATTTTAAGCTGACGACAACTTAACACTATTTGCATAAACAAAGAAACAAAAAGAAAACTAATAAAGACTTTACGCTTAATCTGACCCCCTATACACTTTTAAAGTTTTTGTTGTTTCTATTTATATCGTATTACATTGTCTATGTCATGAAAAGTGGTTGTAGTTTGTATTTTTGATAGGTTTATCTTTTAGTCTTTCCACTTAAGATATGAGTAGTTTACATACCACAATTACAGTGTTATAGTATTTTGTATTTATCTGGGTTCTTACTATTACCAGTGAGTTTTGTACCTTCATATGATTTCTTATTGCTCATTACCATCCTTTTCCTTCAGATTGAAGAACTCCCTTTAGCATTTCTTATAGGACAGGCCTGGTGTTGATGAAATCCATCAGCTTTTGCTTGTCTGGGTGTTTATTTCTCCTTCATGTTTGAAGGGTATTTTTTCCTGGATATACTATTCTAGGAGAAAAGTTTTTTGTTTCTTTTTGTCAGAAATTCAAGTGCCATGCTATTCTCCCCTGGCCTGTAAGGTTTCCACTGAAAAGTCTGTTGCTAGACATATTTGAGGTCCATTGCAGGTTATTTCTTTATTTTCTCTTGCTGCTTTTAGGATCCTTTTATTATCCTT